GTTTGCGTTCCCTTAATTTTTTCATTTTTGTTTTATTTACATTTACATCGTTGTGCTTCATTTCTAGCCTTTGTCATCTTCATCACCTTCTATTCGGACTTTGAAGCATGAGCAACACCTCAAATTTTATTCGCATCAGGAAATTGCGTTTTGCTTGTATTAAACTAACGAGTATGCCGTTTTTATTAGGTTGTTCGAAAAGTCCTGCGACACTTTGATTAAATTGTTCTAGAAAAAGACCAAAAATCATTTTGGATGTTTTTATCCCTGATTAGTGGAGACTGTCCTCTGGGGTTTCTGCACATGGGTATATCATGACTTTGAGGAAGTTTTCAAAGCTTAAAAGTCCCCCAGAGATCGAGGTACTTTTCGACCTGTCCCATATTATGAGTTCCTGTAGGGCCACTCCGCCGTAGTCGAGGAAGCTGACACCTACGTTGTCTTGAGGAAGGATATCGCTTGCCATGGCAGAGGGTAGCTTTTGCATCAGCGCTTCCAGGCTGGACTTATTTAACTCGTAGTTAGGCAATGTATAGGTCGCCCATCAGCACAGAATGACGGCCCTTTACTCAAGCTTCTTGAGGCGCAGCCGAACGTAACCACCGGTAAGTTGGCGACCTCTCTAGGCTCCACCTGACTGACAACTGCCATGCTTCTCCGCAATCTCGGTTATCGGAAAAAATTTTTGTGAAGGATGCCTCATGAGTTGGACCCGTCTGACAAGTCATACCGAATGACCGTGACTGAGTTTTCTTTTCCTTGTACACAGCGAAAGAACTTTTGTGAGATCTTGTGGTTGGTAGCGAGTGTTGGAGTCCTTGCGTACATCATGCACATGTCCCTCGCAGGATCTCTCAAACAGAAAGTAGATTGCTTAGCCAAAAGCAGATGTGCATGGGATAAAGATTTCAGTGTGTTATTGGTGGGACTTCAAAGCGGTATCACTGGATACCAGCACCGTTGTAAGGACCACAGTCCACCTTAATCGACTTCAAAATATGGATGACGTCACGCTTGAATTCATTCAGAAATACTCAATTTTTCTCTACTACTCGGTAATGCGAGGACCGCTGTGGGGATCAGGCTACGCCAAAAGATCATGGATTTCGATCAGAGAATGCGACCGTACCCAGGTTATTTAACAAAGTTAGCAGCCTCTAATTACCACCTCCTTTGGTCCCTATCGCATCCTTTAGAAAGCAAAAATTCCGAAAATCGACCTCAACTCGAGAATGAGGTCCACCTCTTCTTTTTATCATAGTTGCCGTAGTTCTATGAGAATGGAAATGAGAAGCTGTGCAAAAGAAGGGCACTAGTCCTAGTCATCAACTGCGGTTACCTTGTAGATTGGAGATGTCTTTTAGTGACCGGAAATTTAGTCGAAAAATTTGGTCAAAGTGTCGCAGGACTTTTCGAACAACCTAATATTTTCATGTTCCGTGGAAATACGCAGCCTCCGAGGGATGTTGCGGTAGTGGCACAGTTGCTTTTAACACATTGGCGACAAGGCGCCTTTTCGCATGTCTGCCGCATGGGACGAAGCAATTTTTCCCTATTTTTGAGGAATGCGCATG